AACAACAAGCGTTGCCTGATGCATTTTTACAAGCTGTGAAATCGTTAATGTTTTTATACTGAATTCAAAGCTAATACTTTTGAACAGAGGTGTAGGTGGGTGTAGTTGTGGGTGTTGGGTGTGGATGTCGGTGTCCGTGTGGTGTTTGAGTCTTCTATTCTCTAACATCCACACGCGCATCCTCAGTCTAATATAAGCTCATTGTGTGTTTGGATGAGAAAGGAAGAACAAATTCTTTTCACTTAAAAATAAGAACTGTTTTAAATCTTCATGTTGACAATCAATATCTACAGTAGTTTCAAGTAGATACATAGCAGTTTTATATCAATCAAGTAAACTGGTTTTTATCATTCAGCTCCACGGGAACCGATAACTAGTTGTCATAATAAATCGCGTCACTGAACCCTAGTCTTATTAGTAAAGTCGTTAACCAATTTTTAGAATTGATTCTCACAATCCGTTAAACTGAAAGTTACCAAAAGCCTAGTCTTCAATCTATTTTGTAAGACAAAATAATAGATAAATTTGACATAATACGAGCATTCTAATTATAACAGCAGTTTTTCACGTAATTTAAATTATTGATTTATTTCTATTCATTCTATTTTCAGCACGACGTAATACAATGTTTAAAAAATTCTTTGATGCACAACTAACCGATGATGTTCAAGAAGAACTTGTTAAAGCATCAGCAAACGATAAAATAAATAGAATTGTTTCTCTAATTATTTTCTCTTTTGTTGCAATTAATTTTAGATGACATAAGATTCGTGAAAGAATTATTAAAACAACCGAATGTTCATGTAAAAATTTTCAAAATAACAAAAAACGAAAAAGTTTTTTTTTTCTTTCTTATTTATTTATTTCTTATGATTCGATCAATTATATATTTGCTGGTCATACATCTTCACAAGCAGCAGCTCAAAACGGGCATGCAGAAATTATTCGTTTATTGATTCAATATGATGTTAATTTAGAAATTGAGGTGACGAAATTTTTTAAGAAAAAGAAAATTTTATTTATGAATATATTCTACGATCAAGATGGTTATCGAGTTGTACATCATACTGCATTTGGTGATAAAGCTCAAATATTGGCATCTGCTTGCAAGAGCAGATGCAGATTTAAATGCTAGAAATAAACGACGACAAACAGCATTACATATTGGTAATTATTTGCTTCGTATTTCGATTCGCAAAATTTTTTACTCAAGTCATCGAATATTATTGATCAGTTTATTCAAGTCTATGATTAATCAATTAGTTGTCTAGATTAATACGATAAAAAGAAAAAGCAAAACAAAGCTATTAGTCGACAACACATAGAAATTGTTAATGTAAGAAGAAGAAATTTTATTCTAAATAAGAACAAAGTTTTTTCGATTTTTATAGTTATTATGTAATAAAAATGTGAATATCAATCTCTAATCAACAAAGATGATGATACATGTTTACATGAAGCTTTAGAACATCATACAATATCACAATTGAAACAATTACAAGATACTGGAGATCATAATTCTTAAAATTCTATCCATTTCAAAATATAATGTACTCCATTATTGTTTGAATAAGTTTTGATAGAAACATCATAGACATTTACAAGTTTTACCATTCATCAGGTAAGAATCGGGATTATCTCAGAATACCAAAACTAGATTAGTTTGCAGTTGAACAATTAGTTTTGTTCTTGATGAGAATTTTTGAAAACAATATTCTGAAGTCATTTCTCTTCTGATCTACAAAAAGCCGATATTCTGAAATTCAACAATCAGCCTCCATGTAAGGAAGAAGTCAACATTTGGGAAACATTGAAATAATAGAATCAGATCATTTTAACATCTAAAAAGCAGCATCACCACTCAACTCAACACGGTGAATTACCCCTGTATAGCTGCATTTCCGGGTGATCACAGGTTAACTGACTAAAACGGGAAGTCTCAAAAAAAAAGCGTTATAACTCTCGAATAGAACAAATTAAGAATGTCAATCTTCTACAGATCGGAAGTGAAATATCTTCAGAATAACTTTTTCAAAAATCTTCATCAAGATCTCACCTAATTGGTCAATCATATTTCGATAAACTTCGATTACATCGGGTCTTCTCTCTTAAATGATGACTAAACCGCAAGTCTTTATGATGTTCCTATCAATAGTTATTCAAAAGAAAACCAGTGAAGTACACATTTTGACATGAATTGCAGAATATTGATTAGATGATGAATATATTTACAAATACGAATGACTATGATCAACAATGAAGTGTTATTATTGCATGTGAATTAGTTATGCCTGGCCCAAATTTATCTATAAGAAATTTAAAAAATCAAACACTATGAGATGGGGTCACCTCGATTCGGTCCCAATCGGTCCTTTCTCATATCGGTCCCATTGAAACATGTCGTATTTGGGCCCTTCTCACTTTGGTCCCAATCTCATTTCGGTCCCTCTCTCTTTCGCACATGATGTTTTCACTAGAAAAGACAAAAACGTAAAGTTAAATCAAATAGAAAAATGTGTAGTATGTATCTGAAAATTTGTTATTTGTTCTGCTAAATACATATAATGATTTGACTAAATCGAATAAGACTACAATGGCCGACTAAGCTCTTTATTTCCTGTTCGTCCACATGTATTTCGATTTATTGAACGCCTACGAGACGAGCATGTTTATCAACATCATCTTGCTGAACTGGCAACAATCCATACAAAAAAAAAACAAATAACTGAAGATATTAATGCTCAACTTCATACTCTTCTTAATGATCATAATACGGGTGAAGTTACGGATTTAGAGCTGGCAATCTTATGTGGAAAAACAGTAAAAACAAAGTTGGTAAAATAGAACATTTTTTTCTTCTTCGTGTCTAAAGTAGTGTCTTCATTTCTGGTATGTTATTTTCTCTCTGATATTAGTCTTGTTCATTGTATACATGATGATTATTCAAATACATAAAATAAAATTATATATCACTATTAACTATCAAGTTGGGACCTAAGTGAGACATCATTATTTATGTCCTGATCGTTATAGGACCAAAATAAGACATGTTTGAATGGGATCGATATAAGAAAGGACCGATTGGGACCGAATAGAGAGTAATCCCTATGAGATCTTTGTCCTGATTTATCTTTATGTCAAATTTTGACACAAGAAAATTTGTAATTAAAATAATTCTTCATTTCGTTCTTGTCTTCTAGAGAATATAATCGAAAAAATCATAATGATCAACAAGTATCACAAAATAGTAGTTCAATTAAATGTCTTGTTTGTTCTGATAAAAATCGAAATATATTATTTCAACCATGTTCACATTTTGTTACATGTCATTCATGTGCTAGTCATATTAAAAAATATTTATTATGTAAATAAAATTTTCAAACAAAAAGCAAAGTAATATATAAAGATTTGACATGTTTTTTTTTCCTTTTCATCTCGATTGAACAATATAAAATATGTTCTGAACATAAAGCGTCCATAATGTATAAACTATGTGAACATTTAATTGCTTGTGAAAATAAATAAAATGATTTCAAAATAAAAATTAATTGTTTTATTTATTTATTTCCTAGATTGTGTTAGTCTCATGAAAAAATATTTACTATGTCGGGTATCTATTGATACAACAGTATCATTTAATAAACTTTGTTGTGAGAATAATGATCAATGTTTACAACAACAATTAAAAGAAATTCGTGAACAACTGATGAATCAGGTGAGTTACTTTTGAAAAAAAAGATATTCTGAAATCATTTTCTGTTATATTTTAATTTGAAATAAGACCGATTCATAGCAGAAATTCTTCCTTTTCAATCTAGACAAGTCTCAACATTTTCTGATATTCCGTTCGAAAGTTACAAAGGTTTTTCCGATAATCTAGGTCACTTCTTTTCATTTGCAGAAAGTCGATGTAAACTCTAGAATGTTTTCGAAAGAATCATCCATCTAGTAACATTGTTCTCGGTGTGCTGATAACGCTATTGTGAACTCGTTTCCCTTGTTTGACGAAGAAGATCATCGAAAATTTTCTCTATTTCCTGCAATTTTCTAAAATGTAAAGCCGCCTTGTCTATAGATATTACTTATAATGCTATTATTCTGTGCACGCGTTGCATAGTATGATTGATAAGAAAAATGAAAAACTGTGAAGATTTGAGCATGTGTGAAGGCAAGAATCGCAACTCACACTCGAAATGACAACAGAAACAATCGTTTTCAATAATGACAGTCACAATGTTGACTGTTACTCTTAGAGAAACATACTCGATGACGTTTGTACAGAAAAAACTGTATCATCAACGAGCGACATCATACATGTCCCTCAAAATGAAGTCGATTTCAGCTGACCAACGAATCAGAAATGTTTCTAAGTAACGACGACCGTCCTCTCTTATCACATCATCATTCTTTTTCTTTTGTTTAGAATGACATGGTGTTTTATAATCGAATAGAACTATGGTGTCATATATAAATTTCCTTGTGTTTTCAGATTGTAACAGCATTTATTCTTGATTAGTATTATTAATCATGTCGCAAGCTGCATTTGATAAAGCTGCTGAAGAAGTTAAAAATCTAAGCAAAAAACCAACTGATGATGAATTATTAAAACTCTATGGTCTTTTTAAACGTAAGTGTAAAAACAAATTCAAAAAAGTAATAAAATAAAATAAATATTTATTTTTGTTTTTCTCTTTCAGAAGCAACTGTTGGTGATACCAATACAGCCAAACCAGGCATGTTTGACCTTAAAGGCAAATATAAATGGGAAGCTTGGGATGCCAATAAAGGCAAAAGTAAAGAAACTGCTCAAAATGAATATGTTGCATTCGTTGAAGCACTCAAGGCTAAACAATAAAATTGAATTAGCAAAGATCAAAAAAAAAGAACGTTCCATTTTATTAATCGTTACTTCATTTTGAATTCTCTCAATAAAACATCCTTCTACAAGAATATTATTATTTTTTTTTAATTTTCATACAAAATCATTCACTAGATATACATTAAACAGATAAACTATCATATATTGGATAAGACTCATTACATTCATCAATGTTCAATGATGAAAGTAAAGGAGTAATTGATTGCTGTTCTACATTAATTAATGATCGATGTATAGTTGATGTATTTGGTTGTTGAGAATTTTGTCTCCATTTGGTTAAATTATTAAAATAATTTTTTATTTGTTTATATCGATAGGAAATAAGGCAAGGTGCAATTAAAATGAGTAGTGGTGTAGCTATAATAAAAAGAATAATAAAAGCAATAAATAAACCAATAATTATAAGACGATGAAGAAATAATGATGCACGAGAATGACCAAGTCTAAATAAAAAGAAATAAACAATTAAAGACTATATGAGCAAAATTAAAACATGTGAATCTCAAGATAAAGAACTTTCCTAAAATTAATTTTTTCAGAGGGTCTAGATGATGGTAAGGCAAAAATTTTCCTTTCAAGATTTGATAGAATCTCTAAAAAGCCAATTTTTATGAGAAGATTTTTTGCAATCCGATCTTGCTGAAAATTTCGTCATGGATGCAATTTATGGCGTCGAGTCTATCCTGAAGTTTTCGAATTTTTTTTCTCATATAATTAGAGAAATATTCGCTAAATACTTTTAAATAAATAAACTAACTAATTTATTTTAATTAATAACCTACACCCGCACCCTTTTCAAACTACATGAGAACTTTGATACGAACTATGGTAGTTATCGATGAATCAAAAATTGATTTCTATATTTTTCTCGTTCCTTGTTATCAGATAGCCCGAGTAGTGATGTATTCGTTACACTACTTTTCTCATTTGCAAGCTCATCTGTCATCAGCACTTCGGGAATCTTAATATAGATCCGTTAAGACGCGCTTATAAAGATACTTTAGTTTGAGAAACTATTGAGCTTTGAGAGAAGTTGAGAAGAAACATATTTCAGTTAAATTGAAAGAAATATAAAATAAACCTTTTACTAGTAAATAATTAGTACTTGTTTTTGAATCCAAAAATCTCTCGTGTAATTTCAATCGATCATCATTCAGTTTTGTGAGATATCTCATTTTTCAGTTAAAGACTTGTTCATATTTCTGTCACTTTTAATAACAAATATATATCGTTTCATCTTTATATTGTGTATATAGTTCAGCTCACGAAAGAAACTGGTTGTTTTTGTTAATAGAAAACAATGTAGAACAAATGAAGTTATCAATAAATAATGAAAAGCAATGAACTAATCTACTCGATGATTTACATTGCTATTAGGTACTCGTTTGAATAGACTGGGCTTCTATTTCGGAGATGAGTCAATATTTTTACATATGTGTATGCTAAATATTTGTAAAAAATCGAAGTCAAACGAAAGTTGGGTATGGTTCATTTCGTCTGAAATGGTCCATATAAACATAATAAATACATACATACCGATTTCGACAAGGACCACGTTCGTAATGTAATAAGAAAAAATCATTCTATTTAAAGAAAACTTAAAGATAAATAGAAGAGTTTGAATGTAAATAATTCTTACATCTAAAGATTTTAAACAATACCAACAAAACATATGTTTACAATTAATGCACATTATTTGTGCACAACCATCGGTCCATTCTAAAGGAAAACGACATTGTGGACAACGTTTTATATTTGATTCAGTCTCCATTTCATTTGGCGTACTGAAAAACAAAACTTGGCAAAAACTAAATTTTCTAATACAATCGAATATTTATTTACAGTAAATCAGAACAACGTTGATGTGGATGCCATTGACAACGACATTTGAGACAAAATGTGCTTTGACACTATGAAATTGAAATAGATTCATATAAGGCTATGTTATTCATACTTTGGTACATGTTATTGATTGTTTTTCCTCTATTTTTTGTTCATTCGACAATGTCAATACATGACCACAATTAATTTGCGGACAAAAAATTCGTTGAGGATCATTTGTCACTTCTAAATTAATTATGAATAAATAATTGATATTTAGTGAAAAGAATACCATGATCGAATAATCGTTTTGTGTAAAGATGAAATTGTGAATCTGTAAGAAGAGGACGAATCTAAGGAAAAACTGATAGTTCAATTTAGAAATTAGATAAAATCAAATACTTCATTTAAAGTTAATAAACTGTCACATTTTATATTTGGACATCCGATTAATACTAATCTAAATATGACAAATTAAAATAGAAAATTAATAATGTCTATGGTTTTTTTGTTTTGCTAGCAGAAAATCATCTTACGCTGTATTTACTTGACTGACACAATATTGACGTACACACTACAATTTAATATAGATTATGAGAATTTGTAAAATCTGAATATAAACAAACCTGTATACAAAATTGACAATGACATAATTCTATTTGAAATATATCTGTTCTATTTTCAATATTATTACAACAAATTGAACATTGAGATATTTGTTCTTGACATAATTTCAATATTTCTTCCATTATTTCAATCAATAGTTTATCAGAAAGCAAAAAAAAAAAAGAAAGAATGATAAAAATAAACTTTCTTTTTACGTTTTCAAAAGAAAAAAAAAAGATACTGTAAAACAAAAAATAGAAAGAAAATCAGTAATGTAAATATAACTATGTCACACTTTAATCATGTTCACAAGAAACAATAATGATAAACTACTAAATCTATAAGAGTATCTTTTCTTTTTCTTTGTTCATGTATATTTCGGCTCATAAGTCCGTACCAAGAAAACAAAAAAGAAAAACAAACAAACAAAAGTCTTTCAAGAAATATATACAAACACATAGATTACCAAAAAACAAAAAAATATATATCACGTAGAAAACATTAATAAAAATAGACTAAATCAAATTACATCTTGAATTGTATTGTTCATTGTTGCTTCATTTTGATCTGATTTTTCTGTTAATTTACTATCAGTAATATCATTTTCATTTACCTTTATTATTTCTTCATCATTATGTTTATGTTCATTGGCAACACTGTTTGTTTCTTGATTTTCTTTAGATTCTAATATTGCAGATGTATCTGAAAAATTATAATTTTTTTTTACAAAATTTTAAAGTTTATAACAAACGTTTTTTTCGTTTGGTATTAGTCGGCATTTGATGATTTAATGTACGTTTATTTGAAGATTTTTTATCAGGTTTATAAAAATAATCTAAGTCATGTTGATCTTTACTATTCTAAAAACAAAATAATTCATTGAAATTTGATTTTTCATCAGACTTCTTATTTACTTCAATTTTTGTTTCTTGTTCAGATTCAATAGATTCTTTTGAATTAGTACTGCGTTTTTTCATAGTACGTATTGTTGATTTTTTTCCTGGTATACGTTTTCCTTCATCAATTGGTTCAATTAAAAACTTTAAAATTCGTTCACCATGATCAGTATTACGTCCTGTTGCTGGTAAACCAAGAATATTTGAAATTGATTTTAATTGATCTTTTTTTAATCTAATTCAAGAGAAAGAAAATGTCATTTTAATCAACACAAAAATAATTAGAATTATTTTACCGTATTAAATTATTTAGATGCTTTTGATATTCATCACTATTACGTTGAAATTCAAATCCTTTGAATTTTCGAAGATGTTTTCGAATATTTGCTTTATTCTTAAAACGAAGAAAATCATTTATTTTGATCGATAAATTCTTTTGTATTATTCTTACTCCTCGTCGACCAAAACAAATATTACGCATTCGAGATAAAGCATCAGTTGAAGCATGTGTTATTTGATAATTAACTAAATATGAATTATTTTAGAAAATAAATTTAATTATTGTTCTACTTACTATAATCAATTTCACCTAATGGTTTACCATGACCCTAAATAACAAAATATTTTGAATTTATTTATTATGCAATATGAACATTTCAGATCCGAATCTGGTTAACAGAAAAATTTCAGAGTCGATTGGATCTGAGCCTATGTACATCATGTAGACTCAAAGGAGATGTAAATATTCTAACAACAAGAGATCAACTTCTTAGCTTGATTCTATATTTTTCGGGAATTTTTAATTAAATGCCGTGTTAATAAAAAAAAATCACTTTTTCGATCTAGTACTTGAAACTTGGCACAGAGACAGTTTTTCACGTGAATAGTTTCTTGTAAATGTTTCAGATCTTGTCATTGTTCTTATCATAAGATACGACTATGATGAAAGTTTGTCTTTTTGCATTGCTTATATACACCAGCAGATTCGATGTTCACATTTCACAATAGAAGCAAATCAGAAGACCTAAAACTTTCACAATCAACTACTTTCGTTAAGACTTGTCTCTGTACGAATTTTTTCGATCGAAATTTGAAAATCAGTTTGTCTGTCACCACGAGATTCATTTAAAAAAATATCGCAAAAGTGGAATATCATCTCAAGAACAATAAGCTAACGTATCACTTGTGAGACTTTCCTTCTGCATTTAATCTAATGGCTTCTAGGGTTTTGTTATTTTAGATTGAAATGTATATTTACTGTCGAAAGATATGTTTATGAATACATATGTTTCGATTTCTTCTCATTCAATTAATAAAACTCGTTGAACTTGATTAGCCCTGATCATCGTATCATTTCTTTCGATAACATTTAAAACAAACTGCTTCATTCACAAGAGTTTCATAATTAGGGTAATTTTATTCATGAATAAACTTACCTGAGGAATAGATAAGTCTTTTTTTGCTGGTATTGATTCAGATATTTCGAGACGTAATGTTGGTTTTCTTGAACGTTTTCCATTAAGAATAATTGGTTGTTCAAAAAGTGGTTGTGCATCAAGTTCAGTTTCTTTTGTTTCACTTTCCAATTTAGATGCAACATCATGGTTTTCTCTTTCATCACCATTTTCAATCTTTTCGATATTCTTTTGTTCATCTTCTTTCGATACATCTGCTTCCTCAGAGGAAACAGTAACAGCTGTTGCCTTTTCATTTTTTATATTAATTTCAGTTGGCATTTTTTCTTTTGTTTCTTCTATCGTTGTTTTCTCCTGCATAGAAGAATGTTTAAGTACAAAACCAAACTTCTTTTACTTACTTCTTCTTTTGCAGAAGTTTCTTTGTTTATATTTAAATCACTTGCACTTGTCATGCCTTTTCTTTAAGTTTATCGACAGAATTAAATGATCTTATCGACTTTTTTTCTCTTCGCTCCTCCTCCATAATGCTACTAAATACCAATAGACAAATCAATTCAATAGATATCTACATATATATATATATATATATGTATATGCATATTTGATAGATGGAGCATCAATACATATTTAAAAAAAAAAACATCTGTTGTGATAATACAGCAAGATAAATGTAACAACTAAAAAATTCAATCGACTAGCTTGAACTTTTTTAATGGCATAAAAATAAAGTTATTAATCAATAAAAATAATATTGTTCAGAGAGTAGAAAACAGCATCGTAAACGATAGAAAATAGTAGGAGAAACGATGACTACTTGGTTGTGAAAAAATGGTCCGTAAAATGAATTGACTGATTATGGTGAGATACGGTGAAAATTAATACAATAAACAATCATTTTTGATGATCGGAATGGTCATCCTGTGTAGTAAGGTTTGAACTATGCCATTAAGATTTCATTAGCATTAATTAAACTATCAAGATTAGTAATGTGTAAGAGCAGTTTCAGTCCTGTACATCTCTAATTAAGACATACTCTAATAGACGAAGTGTATTTAAACAGATTAAAACTAAGCATTGAAAAGATTTTTCTTCTTGAAAACTTTAAAGATGCATTGAAAGTTCAATCAAAAACTACAATAACAAGAAAATATCAAACATAAAAAGTTCATACAAAAAAAAAATCAACAATCGGCATGAATAGGAATAGTTTTAGTAAATATTTCTATGTAATGCTATCTCTATGTGCTAAAGTAATGAATGTATTTTGACGAAAATATGAAAAAATTCCATAGAACAGGTGTTTTAAAAATCTGTTATGGTAAGGATGTGGAAACAGAAGATAGTGAAAATTGTACGTATATTCTGTATGAGTCTTAGTTCATTTTAAAATGCTTCAATAAAATCTTGATGTGAATGATACTTTTATTCATTATTTGTTGTTCATTTTAATATCTTGACTATGATTTATCTATGAAGGATGTCCAAATATTAGTCTTTAATAGGATTATTGTCATATAATTGAATTTATATAAGTAACTTTCGATGAATGATATAGAATCGCGTCGTAATGTGAAGTGCAGGACAAAAAAAAGAGGCTCGTTCGTTGATAAACTAGAATGACATTTAGAAATTTATGCTTGAAAACGTTTATTTCTTAGTTAGTATAATTGGAATACTCGTTGACTTTATCAACACTAACCATGAACGTTCTTGATCTTCTTTATTGTGCCAGTACGAATATGAGAATTGGTAAAATATTTTAATAGAAATATTTTGCTTGAATTGATCAATCTCTTATATTCATTGATTTTTAAAAAAATCTTAATTTAGTCGCTGAATAATATAAATATTTAGATAGTTATTCTTTATACTTATTTTTCAAAGTGAGTGAAACACTTATATCAATTCATATGTGGTACCACTTCTTCGATATGGATGATACTTACTTATGTTATCATTTCAATCTTTTTAACCGAGACATAAAATTACTTGAACAAAACCATGATAAAGTAGATGATTTATTTTTTTATTAATGCTCTACCATAATATTGAGTCCAGTTCTGTCTACGTACCACCCTACATAGTTGAATGAAATCATGATTATTTAATTATTTATATACTATGTGTCTATTGTTCACAGTAGTAATTAGTAGTGTTTCTATTCGTGTGAACTTTTCAATAGAT